TTACTATATCTATACTTTTTTTTTTTTATCATTAGTGTACTCCTTCTACTTATTTATTTATTTTTTTGAGATGGAGTTTTGCTCTCATTGCCCAGGCTGGAGTGTAATGGCACGGTCTCAGCCCACTGCAACCTCCACCTCCTGGGTTCAGGCGATTCTCCTGTCTTAGCTTCCTGAGTAACTGGGATTACAGGCATGTACCACGATGCCCGGCTAATTTTGTATTTTTAGTAGAGACGGGGTTTCTCCATGTTGGTCAGGCTGGTTTCGAACTCTCGACCTCAAGTGATCTGCTTGCTTTGGCCTCCCAAAGTGCTGGGATTATAGGCATGAGCTACCATGCCCGGCCTTCCTTCGACTTATTAAAAAAGAAAATAAAGTTAACTATAAAACAGCATCAGGCAGGTCCTTCGGGAGGAATTCCAGACGAGGGCATTGTCACAGGAGCTGAATGCTCCCTGCATGTTACTGCCCCTGAAGACCTTTCAGTGGGAGAAGATGTGGAGGTAGAAGACAGTGATATTGATGATCCTGACCCTCTGTAGGCCTAGGCTCATGTGTATGTATGTGTCTTAGTTTTTAACAAAAAAAGTTTAAAAAGTTAAAAAAACCCTCTTGAAAATAGAAAAATAAGCTTATAGAATAAGGGTAAAAGAAAGAATATTTTCGCCGGGCGCGGTGGCTCACGCCTGTAACCCCAGCACTTTGGGAGGCCGAGGCGGGTGGATCACGAGGTCGAGAGATCGAGACCATCCTGGTCAACATGGTGAAACCCCGTCTCTGCTAAAAATACAAAAAATTAGCTGGGCATGGTGGCACGTGCCTGTAATCCCAGCTACTCAGGAGGCTGAGGCAGGAGAATTGCCTGAACCCAGGAGGCGGAGGTTGCGGTGAGCCGAGATCGCGCCATTACAATACAGCCTGAGTAACAAGAGCGAAACTCCGTCTCAAAAAAAAAAAAAAAAAAAAAAAAGAATATTTTCGGACAGCTGTATAACATGTTTGCATTTTAAGTCGAGTGTTATAATAGACTCAAAAAGTCAGAGTTGGGGGCTCCATGCCCCTTCTCACTTACCTTGCCTCAAGCATCTCTTCCATTTGGCTGCTCCTGAATTGTATCCTTTATAATAATCTGGCAAAAATAGTTTCCCTGAGTTCTGGGCGCTGTTCTAGCAAACTATCTGCTTATCCCTCTGCAGAGGAGGTTGTGGGAACCCTTAATTTATAGCCAGTTTATCAGAAGTATGGGAGGGCCAGACGTGTCTGAAGTAAGGGCAGTCTTATGGGACGGAGCTCTTAACCTGTGGGATCTAATGCTAACTCCAGGTAGGTAGTGTCAGGATTGAATTGAATTTTAGGACACCCAGCTGGTGTTTGAGAGCTACTTGGAGTGGAAGAAACCTACGTATTTGGTGTCAGAAACGTTTTGTGAGAGTATAGAGGACCAAAAGGATTTTTTAGAAGAGATGGGGTCTCACCATATTGCCCAGGCTGAAATATAGTGGCTATTCATGGGCATGATCATAGTGTACTGCTGCTTTAAACTCTTGGCTGCCAGCAATCTTCCTGCCTGGGCCTCCTGAATAGCTAGGACTACATGCACATGCCACAGTGCCCAACTTAAAAAAAAATGTTGTTTTATTTTACATGACTAACCAGGAGGTCTGGAGCATGGTGGGCATGTTGTCTGAGGTTCCTGGAGCATCCCCGAATACCCTGCATTGGGTAACCACAACAAATAGACAAGGAAGAGCCAGACTTTAAGACCCTCCAGAAATTCTCTGGACCAGTCTGATCCATAATCAGTGAATCATGCAACTTCAGAAGCTCCAAAAATTGGACCACAAGGTTCCTGACATTCATAACACCATGGCTGGAAAGAATACGGTGACTGCAGTGACCTTAGCCAGAACCTCTTAATACGTTTTCTTATGTCTCTATTTTATTAAGCTTTGAATGACTGAAAAAATAAACAGAATTGGCAGGTAAGTTCTCGCAGATGCTGATGGCACCGCCTTTGTCCCTTAGGCATTCATAGCTTAGTGCTCTCCTGTTCCCCCTGCCAGATGCCGCATCGTTTTGCCTGCGAGTTTCTCTGAAGCCTTTGGAAGGTCACTCTGATAGCAGATGGTGGGGACTGTTGGGAGATGGTGTTAACATCTCAGCTCCCTCGCCTTTCCCCTCTCCTGCATTCTGTACCATTTCTCACAGTTCTTCCTGGTTTACACGTCAGTCTCCCACAGTGGTAACTGGTTTGATTATGCACTCCTTGTTGGTTCCCTTCTCTGCTTCTCCTCTTCTGATATTTTGTTGGTTTTTAACTCCCCAACTCCCAAGTAAACTGCCTTAATTCCAATATTTGTTTATTCTGCTTCTGTAGGAACCTAAACTATGATATTAATTAATCGTATTAATTAATTTTCTGCCTCTCTGATCTGAAAGGTAATTAGATGCATGCTTGCATTTCCTTTACAAAAGCTTTTGAAAGCTGTGTGTGCTAAGCCATTTCACATTGATGCTTTGCCGCCAAGAAACCAACAAGAGATGCTCAGGATGGGCAAATGTCAGCCCCCGAGGGCACAACTGCAACTAACAAAACTATTTATTGGAGGAATTCTGGCTGTCAGTTCAGATCTCTGTTGATGATCAGAGGAATTCACTCATTCTGCAAATATTTTCTGAGCTCTGCCTCTCTGCAAGAGGCCCAGGCAGCATTGGCCAAGCTAAAACAAATACTGTCTGTTTTCTCTGAGATGTAGCTTTCAGATTACTCTATTAAAAAACACTAATGAATCTGTTCAGAATTAATGTTTGAGTTACTGTTGGGCTAGTGATGACTCTCCAAGGGATGAGGAGTAGATAATAATGACCCTTTTTTTTTTTCCTTTTTCAAACTATGAAGGATTTATTTCTGATAATTATAATGGCCTGTCCTTTCCCAAAGAAACAGTCACCACAGTGTGGTACATAGCCCAGGAGGGCTGGAACAGAAGCAAAGTTTGCAAACTGCTGGGCCTCTGAGGTTTAGCTTTGGGAGCAGAGCCAGGGGAGAAACGATGCAGCCCAGTGCAGAGAAAAGGTCCCTGGACCAAGACAGGAAAGATGAACTCCGAAGCTCTCAACCAGTAGTGTGAACTTGGGAAGTCACCTGTACTCTCTGGGTCTCAGTTTCCTCACCTCTAAAATTAGGGAATGGGATCAGATGGTCTCTAGGACCATTAATTGTCTGTGGTCTGTCACGAGTCTGTTGAAAAAGGTAATGGACCAAAGTCAAATCTATGGCTTCACTCGATCTCTGTGTTGCTCCACTTCTCATCATGTTGGATGGGGTGAGGGGAAGTCATTTTTTTTTGAATTACTAGGCACTATTTGCCATAAAAAGTGTTTATAGTGACCTGGCTTGCTCAAGGATTGGTGATTAGAAAGAAAAGAAGCTATTGGAAGCGGGTAGGGGTTGGAGAAATGGGTGATTGAAAGGGTGTTTTCTAGGCTGGAGAACATTTGGGGGATCCGGAATTGGTGAAGACCCGGCTGGGAAGGTTCCTGTTGCTACTTGGGGGATTGAGGGAGTTTGGTGGGAAAAAGGACAGAAAAGGCCTTCTCATTTTTCTTTTCATTGCTTTTTATAATTCTCATGGTTCTCAAATATGGCTGCATATTAGAACCGTCCAGAGAGCTTTAAAAATCACAAAGTTCCTCTCCCCTTTCTGATTTAATTGGTCTGGGATGGTGATTTTTGAAAATGCTCTGAAATAATTCTGCTGCATAGCCAGGCTCAAGAACCACTAAATGGTAACCAAGAGCTCAGAAACAGCCTTTTTGCCTTTGCTCAGACATCTACCTGATTTTCTCTACTTTTTCACATTTTCTTTCCTCTTCAATTTTCATCCTCTGAATCAAAATTACAAAGTCAGAAACGGGTGGAAGATGGAGAAGGGAAGAACAAGGGCTATGCATCCTATTTTCTGGTTAATTCCTAATTATTTATGAGGTTTATAAAAGTTGTTTTTCTTCCATGAATATAATTTATACTATTTAACAAAAACTTGAGAAATAAAAAAAAAAAAGAAAAAACATATCAAAGCATCAGACTAGTCCATCACTTAAAGGCAATCAATGACTGCTAATCCCATTTTAGTCTTTTCTTTTTAAAATGTTTTTCTCAATGCTTAGTTTCTTTGTTTGAATGCTTTACGCTACTGTGTATACGAGGAACTGGCAAACTGCAGCCCACAGGCCAAATCCAGCTTGCCTTTTATTTTTATAAATAAAGTTTTATTGGAACACAGCTATGCTCATTTGCTACCTATTGGCTACAGCTGTTTTCACACCACAGTGGCAGAGTTGAGGAGCTGCAACAGAGACCATCTGAAATATTTACTCTATGGTCCTTTACAGAAAACATTTTTTGGGCTCTGGCATATACCATTCTGTACTCTCATTTTCTTCTCATTTTACCTTATATCACGAGCATGTTCCTATTTTGTCAATGCTTCATAAACATTAATTCTAATAACTGCCTCATATTTTACTGCACATAGTTAAGTTGTGGCTTAGACTTTCTTCTATTAGTAAACGTGTATGTTTTTTCACTCTTATAATGCTTCAGTGAGTATATTTGGACATAGATGATTTGTTTTTTCAGTTATTCTTTTAGGACTGTATTTAGGTTATTCAGCTGGTAGCTAGGGGCATTTTAACACTGGTACATATTACTAAATTTCTTATGCAAAGGCAGTGCACTAGTTTGTGCTTGTCAGTAATACAGCAGGGAACCTACTTCCCCACATACTTGCCAGCATTATGACCATGTTAAACGTTTTCTAGTTTTAGATAGGTAAACAAAAAAGCTATTATTTTAATTTTCATTTCTTCTATGTTTAATGCGGTTCAACTTGTTACTAAACCATTGTATTTCTTCATCTGCATGTTGATTGGTTTTCAGATCAGCTTGGCCTCCTGCCTAGGGCAGAGTGGAGGGTGCTGGTCCTGCCTCTCACCTTAGCTTGGAGCAGGGCTCCTGCCTCCACCCGGTTCTTTTCAACATCTCTCTCCCACTGAATTCTGATCGTCTCAAGGATGTCGTCCAGACCAGTGCCAATGGGAACATCCACTTGTTCCAGCTCACACCCTGCCAATTGTTTGTGCAGCACCTTCACATCCTGAAAACGACAATACACATCTTAGGTGAGTTACAGGGGGAAATAAATGGCACAGAATCCTAGCCAGCAGAAGACTAGCTAGCTCTGTGTGTAATTCTTTTCTTATCCTGCAACTGCCAGACACAGGCTTCACAGAGACGGGGAAAGTCTCTGATCTTCTTCCTAGCATAAGTAAAATTTCTCAATTTCTCTTTTCCCAAGGATGCCTGCCTGCTTGCCTGCCTTCCTTTCTCTCTCTCCCTCTCTCTCTCTCTCTCTCTCTCTCTCTCTGTCTCTCTTTTTGAGACAGGGTCTCACTTTGTCGCCCAGGCTGGAGTGCTGGAGTGCAGTGGCATGATCTCGGCTCACTGCAACCTCCACCTCTTGAGCTCAAGCAATCTTCCCACCTCAGCCTCCAGAGCAGCTGAGACTCCAGGCACATGCCACCACACACAGCTTGTTTTCATATTTTTAGTGGAGACGGGGTTTCGCCATGTTGCCCAGGCTGGTCTTGAACTCCTTGGCCTCTCATAGTGCTGGGATTACAGGCATGAGCCACCATGCCTGGCACCAAGAATGCATTTATTAGGTTGATCTCCACAAGCCCCAGCCCAAAGCAGAAATCGAAATAAATAAATTAAAAAAAACAAAAACAAAGTAAGCAACAACAGCAAAGTGAATTTAATCATAAAGTCAGACAAGGCTGAAAGAGGCTTAAAGATAACTTTGGCATCTCTAAAGGGTTCCTGTTGGAGAGTTGTCTTAAATCACTGAGCTAAGAACAAGAAGAAATGGGTTTACAGTTGCTAGTTAGCGTAAGTTGGACCCAAGAAAGAACTTCCCAATGTGAGCATTGTTTTGACTCAACTTGAAGCAGCCCAAATCTCGAATCAGACACTAATATGTGAGGTGGTTTAGAATCACTGAAGTCTTACAGGGAACTAGACCCTCTAACTGTTGGAGGTCCCCTCCAGAAATGATCTGAACTAATTTTGTTAATGGTAGATGTAAATCACAGCTTGGATCTACCCTCAGAGTTATTTTGTTTGTATAATGCAGTGTTAAAAAACAAACAAACAAAAAAACCTGACATAGAATGCATCGAGGAGGGGTTGCTCCCTCTAATTTAACCCAAGTTCTCCCATTTGCTAGTGCCAAGACTAGCTGCCTTTCCGCGTTTCTGTACCACACTGGTTCCCAAAGCTATTTAAGTTTGAGACTGCTGGGGCAACCAGACCCACTGCAAGGACCTGAGAGTGTTTTACAGGTACGTTCCCTGCAGTCCTGGGCACGCACCTGTGGAGAGTCAGAGAGGAGCTACCATGGCCTTGTCCGGAAGCACAGGCAGGCAGATGTGCACCTCTGGTCTTGTGGCCAACCCAGCAACCCCAGCCCCCACCTACCTCTTCGTAGTTTCTTGACAGAGAGTCAAGTTCTTCTTTCAGACTTTCTATTTGACTCTCCAGATCCATTTTTGTCAAATTAGCTTCATCAATGACTTTATACAGAGAGTTAATTTCGTCTTCTGCCGCCTTTCGAAATGGCAGCTCATTTTCATATCTGCAGATAAACGAACTTAATCAGTATAACTGGGTAGTCCAAAAGAAAAATAATCAGATTATAAATGTTACCAACAGGCCACTTATGTGATAGACAATGAATGGCAAAAGTCACTGTTTCAATAGCTTTGAGGGCACTGTTAGTGCAATCGTCACACACTGATTTATTAGAATGAAGGCAATTGCAGCCAACTTGTGATAACCTGGCTTCATGGGCTACCAGCCTCATGGGAGTGTTGAAACACAGAGCTCCAGGGAAACCTCAGGGGTTCAGATCCAGGTTAGGGGATGCGGCATCTTCATCGCTGTCCTGAATTGTCCTCCTTTTCAACCAAAGATCCTTTAACAAACTTTATTGACAACCTGCTAAGCACCAGGCTGGGGACCCTGAAATAAGAAATGTGGTTTCTGTCTCCACAGAGCCCATGTTAAAAGGGTGCATCTCCAGGACACTGGCTGCAAACCCAGATGCCTTCAGGGACTGAGTAGGAGGTGTAGCTGAGCGTGCTTCTCAAGCCCGGGTGCACATTAAGTCACCTGATGAGCTTTAAAACTGCTGAAGCCTGGACCCCGCCCACAGGGACTCTATATGGCTTGTGCACTGCACTGACCTTTTTTTTTTTTTTTTTTTTTGATGGAGTCTTGCACTGTCGTCAGGTTGGAGCGCAGTGGTGCAATCTCAGCTGACTGCAACCTCCACCTCCAGGGTTCAAACACTTCTCTGCCTCAGCCTCCTAAGCAGCTGAGATTACAGGCACCCGCCACCATGCTTGGCTAATTTTTGTATTTTTAGTAGAGATGGGGTTTCACTATCTTGCCCAGACTGGTCTTGAAGTCCTGACCTTGTGATCCACCCGCCTCAGCCTCCCAAAGTGCTGGGATTACAGGTGTGAGCCATTATGCCTGGCCTGCACTGACATTTTCAAGTGCCCAGGTAATTCTGATATGCAGCCAGGATTGAGAATCATTCCTCTGAACTAGTAGTTCTCAAAGTATTTGAGTCCCAGGACCAGCATGATCAGCATCCCTGGAAACTTGTTGGGAATATAAATTTGGGGTCCTACTCCAGACCTATTGAATCAGAAATCCAACAGGGTGGGGCACAGCAATCTGTGTTTTCTATATGGCCGCTGGGTGATTCTGATGCATTCCAGAGTTTGAAAACCCCTGCTCTAAACCAACTGACACTGGGCAGAATCTTTGAGCCCTTAATGCCTAGTTTGTGTCTACAAGGAGGGACATGAGCTGGATAATCATGGCTCTGTTATCCCGCCCAGCCTCCCCTGGGGTAGGAGGTGACTGATGCAGGCTCTAGAACAGCATTATCCACACTGCCCAGGAGTGTAGGGGTGTGAAGGGACCGTCCCCTCTGCTGTAAAGCATTACCTCTCTTTAAAGTCATCTGCTCCCGCCTGGATAGTTTCTGTCTGCAGCATGAGCCGGGCATTTTCCAAGACTGCCTCGCCCACCTAGAGCCATCACACACACCAAAGGAGACAAGGTCACTGGGAACGTCAAGGTTACTTACCACTATGACTTGTGTTAGGCACAGATATTCTGGGGGAACTCAGAGAACCTTTTTATAGCAAATATTTTTGGAATTAAGCTGTCCCTCTCTTTGGGACAATGGTCAGGAGGGGATATAAATAATAAGGCACACAATCTGGATATCGTGTAAGAGTTTTTAGAGTAGGATTTTTGGAACAAAAAGACTATTCAAAGGCAGATTTATTTACAGCCTCTGTCTGTCATAGTGATGAGCTTTCATCTCTCCAGGGCAGAATCTGGCTCCTTAGGTGAAGTTTCACTGGCTTTGACTAGCAGCTCTTAAAATTTCTGGCCATGGATGCCTTTGGAAAACTGGTGAAAGCTCTGGATGAGCGCTGTCCAGCAGAGCTTCCCGCGATGGTGGAAGATGCTCTGTTTCTGCACTGGCCAGCATGGTGGCCACATGTGGCTACTGAATACCCAAGGTGGTAAGGGTGACCCAGAGACTGAAAACTTCATTTTATTTATATTAACTTAAATTTAAGTAGCCATAACGTGTGGCTAGTGGCCACTGTATTGGGCAGTGTGGCTCTAGAGTTTTATCTGCCCCAAAACATACACGTGAACATAGCTATTGTGTATATAGTTTAGGAGTTTCACGGAGCCCTGAAGAGTGGTTTTTCAAACTTGATTCCCCAAGCTTCTCAGGATCTCCCACAGGTAGGGTTTGGGGGTGGGGGTGTGGGGGTGTGTGTCCTCTCTTCAACCTGAGAAATTCATACACACACACACACACACACACACACACACACACACACCCACACGGTAGGCTGAAGGCTATGGGAGAAGGAAATGACTGAGCTCCCCCCTTGCTCCAGTGTGACTATCTTATTTTGTTCCATTTCATTGAATTTCTTTCTTTCTTTCTTTCTTTTTTTTTTTTTTTTTTTTTGAGACACAGTCTTGCTTTGTTGCCCAGGAAGGAGTGCAGTGGTATAGTATCTGCTCACTGCAACCTCCACCTCTGGGATTCAAGTGATTCTCCTGCCTCAGCCTCCTGAGTAGCTGGGATTACAGGCACTGTGCCACTATGCCTGGCTACTTTCTGTATTTTTAGTAGAGACGGGGTTTCACCATGTTGGCCAGGCTGGTCTCAAACTCCTGACCTCAACTGATCCACCCACCTCGGCCTCCCAGAGTGCTGGGATTACAGGTGTGAGCCACTATGCCTAGCCATTTTCACTGAATCTCAGCACTAGCAAAGCTAATTTTTTCTGTTCCAGCCTGGCCCTGGGGCATGCTGGGAAGCAGGCAAATTAGGGTTTCTCCCTTTCCCAGTTCTTATCTCACTCCTGTCTCTTACCTCTGATGCCTGGAGTTCTCCTTCTGGTTGATAAAACACTTGCAGCTCATTCACATTTAAGATCAAAGGACTAATAATGTCTTAAAACAGTGATTTATATCCCTCGTTTAAAGTAACAATCCCCACTCACCAGAATTCAAGCATATGTACACACACAGTTGTCCCTTGGCATCTGGGGGGGCTTGGTTCCAGTCCCCCACAGATGCTCAAGTCCTTTATATAAAATGATGTAGTATTTGCATATAATCTACACATATCCTTTCATATATTTTAAATCATGTTGAGCTTATGATACCCAGTACAATGGAAATGCTATGTACATAGTTATTTACTGTGTTGTTTAGAAAATAAAGACAATTAAAAACCCCACATGTTCAGTGTAAATGCAATCATCTATTTTTTCTTTTTAAATATCTTGATCCACAGTTGGTTGAATCCACAGATATGGAGCCCATGGATGTGAAGGACCGAGTGTACTTTGTACCAGTGGTTGTCAAAGTGTAGGGCCCTGGACCAGCCGCAGTAGCATCACCTGGGAACTTGTAAGAAATGCACATTTCAGCCTCTGTTTCAGATGGACCTATCAGAATCTCTGGAGGTGGGTTCCCACAATTTGTGTCTCAGCAAGGTTTCTGGGGGCTTACAATGCACACTCAGCCTTGAGAACCCAGGCTTCACACGGCCCTGACCCCCAGGCCTGCTCAGGCTATGTCCCTGGCTGCACCTGGAATCCCTCTGTGCCTTTGCACCTGCTGCCTCCATTGAGAACAATTTCTTTCACTACCTCCCACCCCCTAACCCTCAATGTCTAAGACATCCTCCTCTACTTGAATGCTAATTTCAAACATGGCTCCCCCACAAAGCTTTTCTATTTGTTCACTCATTCATTCTTGCCTTCATTTCTTCAGCACCTAATTACTGTTTATGCCAGGCTCTATCCTGGTTGTTGAGAAACCAGCAGCTATTATAGGAGATGAGGTTAAAGAGCCCAGATCATGGACGGAAGGTCGTGGACACAGTAGAAAGGAGTTGAGATTTACTGGGAAGCCTTTGAAAGTGCTCGAGCAGGCTACAGAGGGGATCTGTGCACTAAGTGGACCCTCTGACTGCAGTGGAAAGGGAGGATTGTAGGAGGCAGAGAGGGTGCCAGAGGACCAGCCCAGAGGCTCTTGCAGTGGTCCAGGGAGCCCATCTTATTAATGATGGTGGCCTTGACGAATGGTGTGATCATAGGGTAGGTGAAGAAACGCGGACTGGTTTAAGACGCATTTGGGGGATGGAACAGTCGGTTCTTGGTGACGTAGTTGTGGGGAGATTGAGGGAAGACAATGAGGGGTGACCCCCTGGTTTCAGCCTGAGCTGTAGGGAGCATGGTGGGGCCTTTGCTGATTCTCTTCCTCCCTTCTTGGCTGTTTCCTGCGTCTGAGTCACAGCCCACCCTTGTGGCACATTATCCCTCTCTTACCACATTTAGTATAAACACTTTGTAGACAATGACAGTGTTTTCTTAATTCTGGAACCTGGCTCCTCCATTCACCAACATGGGCCAGTTACTTGGAGTAAGTAACTCTAAGATTTGGTTTCTTCCCCCATGAAATGAAGATAATAATACTCCCTTCCTCCTGGGAGAATTAAATGAGCCAAGGTATATGAGACTCAATGTATGTGCAGCTCAGCAGACTGCCTGGCACAGAGTAAGTACTGCGTGACTGGTAGCCATTATCATCATCGTTATTTGTCTTTGTACAAAGCAGTTGTTTAATGAATGTCGAATGAATTTGACGGGCTTGTGCAGTCTGGCACTGATCCTGCTTTACTTTTCTGAATACACAGGCAGTTGAATGAAGACTTCCATCTAGTGGCTTAATATGTATGTCTAAAATTTTTTTCTTTGTTTTTCCTGTCCATAGTCATTTGAAAAGTCCTAGTCATTTGTACTAAGGTGATGAGGACTTTATCCCTTTCTATAATACTACTCCTGTTTTCATTGTGGAGGTAGTTATTAAAATAAATGAGTTGGTGGTTGTATGAGAGATTTGACCATCATTTGTGTTAAAGAAAAGGCAAAGAGAAGCAGCATTTTAAAAAAGGTTATCATTTGGGTCCAAGGGTACAATTAATGGTTTGTTTGGAGTTAAAGATATTGGCATCCTGGCAGCTAGAGCTGCAGGCATGGGGAGGAGGTGGGCAAGACTGGGCTTCTGGGAAATTAAACTCAGCTGGTGTAGTGGCAAGATGCAAGATTCCCTTGGAAATCCTTCCCACATTTATTTGACTTTCAAGTTTAGGATGGATGACAACATAACTTGCTCCTAGCAATAAAGGGATGAGAAATAATTTTCAGTCCCTAGCACCCCAGTGGTACTGCTCTTAAAAACAAGGCAAAGACCACCGCATTACCAAGCCCGACAGATGCTTCTCTGCGCTCACCTTGACTTGCCGGTTGCATCTGTCACAGATGTACTTTTCTCTCTCAGCTTCCATGGTGTCATGGAAACCGAGACAGTCTCTCTGCACTTCCTCCTACTTCATTGACCATTCTTTCTCATTATTCTCTGCTGCACCAGATTTTTTTTCTTATCTGACCTCTAAATGTTAAAGTTTTTCAGGATCCGGTCTTGGTGCTTCTTTCTTTTAATCACTAAGTGGTCTGATCTATCTACAGAGATTTAAATGCCATTGTATGTGCTAATGACTTTCACATTTAAATGTCTATCTCAGAACTTTCTGCTCAGCTCCGGACATGCATACTCACCCTCTCTTTGAGGTCTTCACGTGGCTGTTTCTCAGACATCTCAAACTTAACATGTCCCGAAATGAAAACTAGAAAATCTTGACTGGGCCCAGTGGCTCACGCCCATAATCACAGCACTTTGGGAGGCCGAGGAGGGGCGGATCACCTGAGGTCAATAGTTCAAGACCAGCCTGGCCAACATGGTGAAACCCTGCCTCTACTAAAAATACAAAAAATTAGCCAGGCGTGGTGGCCAGCACCTGTAATCCCAGCTACTCGGGAGGCCGAGGCAGAAGAATCACTTGAACCTAGGAGGCAGAGATTGCAGTGAGCTGAGATTGTGCCATTGCACTGCAGCCTGGGTGACAAGAGCGAAACTCTGTCAAATAAATAAATACATAAATAGAAAAGAAAATCTAGATGATTCCCCCTCAAATCTCCCCTTTCCCCACCGCCCCTTGATCCTCTTCATCTCAGCAAACAACCCCAATGTCTATCCAGAAACCAAGGGGTCATCTGATCTCTCACTTTCTGTCGTCTCCGACATCTCATTTATCACTGAGTCTAGTCACTTCTACCCCCACAATGTATCTCAAATCCATGTACTTCTCTCTACCGCTCTTGACATCACCCTGGTGAAAGTCACCATCATGCTCTCCTGTCCCAGTGTGATATCCTTCCAACTCTCTGATCTGTTCCTCCCTCTCCAATGCATTCTACATCTTGCTTCCAGAGTGGGCTTCTTAGACTCTTAGAATCATATCATATCACTCCGATTAAACTAAATTAAAACTCTATTTAGAGGGGCTGGGTGTGGTGGCTCACACCTGTAATCCCGGCACTTTGGGAGGACAAGGTGGGTGGATTGCTTGAGCCTAGGAATTTGATTCCAAGCCTGGGCAACATGGCAAAACCTTGTCTCTTAAAAAAAAAAAATAGGGAGTTTATCTAGGTGTCATGATGTGCACCCACAGTCCCGGTTACTTGGGAGGCTGATGTGGAAGGATCTCTTGAGCCAGCAGGTCGAGGCTGCAGTGAGCTGTGATTGTACCACTGCACTCCAGTCTGAGAGACAGTGAAAGCGAAAACTTGTTTCAAAACAACACAGAAAACAAAACAAAACTCTTCAGAGGTGTCTTTTAGAGTAAAACCCAGTCTTCTGCAGTGGCCTTCAAGGCCCTGCCTGCTTGTCACTCTTCCGTTGCTCCCAGGCTCCAGTCATGCGGATCTTGGCCTTTCTGGACCATGCCAGTCCCTCCCCTGCTCGAGGCCCCAGCACTTGCTGACTGCTCTGTCCACTCCTCCCTCTTCTTTGCATGAACAGCTTCCTCATCCTGGTCACCTTACTGCAAGTAGAGCTTCCCTTTACTCTGCCCCTTTCTGCTTCGTTAGTCTTCTTTAAAACAACACAGCTAGTATCATCAGTTTTGTGGTTTTAAAATTATTTTCTCTGTATGTTCCACTAGAATATAACCTCCTTGAGGTCAGGCACTGCCTTTCTGTCCTGTTCGTTGTTCCATCCCTAGCACAGTGTCTGGTACAGCAGGTATCGGTTGAATTAACGAGCCCAGCAGTAGCGCTGCCTCTTTATGGAAAACCCATGCAGGGAGGACCCAGTGCCTACCCTCAAGGAACAGCCGGGTTCTTACCTAACTCCAACCTGAGAATTACCTTCTCTCTTCCTCATCTCCCAAGTCAAAGACCATCAATTCACCACATAGATGTACCCAAATCCATTTCCATTCCATTATCTGGCTTCATCCAAGTCCTAGTCATCTCTTTTCTGGTTTAACCTGATACCTGAGGACAAAAAAATAAGAAGCCCAAGCACTGTGAGTTAAGTAAGATTGCAGCCGAGGCTGGGCTCGGTGGCTCACGCCTGTAATCCCAGCATTTTGGGAGGCTCACGCCTGTAATCCCAGCATTTTGGGAGGCTCACGCCTGTAATCCCAGCATTTTGGGAGGCTGAGGTGGGCATATCACCTGAGGTCAGGAATTCGAGTCCAGCCTGGCCAACATGGTGAAACCCAGCCTCTACTAAAAAATACAAAAATTAGCCAAGCATGGTGGCAGGAGTCTGTAATCCCAGGTACTCGGGAGGCTGAGGCAGGAGAATCGCTTGAACCTGGGAGGCAGAGGTTGCAGTGAGCCGAGATCGCACTATTGGACTTAGCCTGTGCAATAAGAGCGAAACTTTGTCCAAAAAAAAAAAAAAAAAAAAAAAAAAAAAAAAAAAAAGATTGCATCTGAAAGTGAACTTAGAGGAAATGTTATCAAGTAATGGAGAAGTCCAGCCATCTCTGGAGACAGCTAACCCCCAGGCACAGTCACAGCCATCGGGCGTCCAAGGAGAATGAGAGACATTTGAGGGCTGAGGTTGGATTTCACTCTGGAAGCCACAATACACTTCGGAGCCTGTATTGCAAATAAACCCTGACTTCATCAGACTCTGCACTGGCTGAGAAGAAGTGCCATTATAGAAGGGCCCAATGAGTGTGCAGGTGAGAAGCTGGAACTGGTGGCTGGGGTTTATTTGCCATTGTTGGGCAAACAGGAACACCTGGGTTCCTAGAAGTTGTCCTCTGTCATGCTGAGGACAAATTTCTTTAGGTCCCTCTGTCCCTGGAAGCCTCTCTATCCCTCCAGGTTCTGGTTCTGGGCCCACCTAGACTTCCACCTTCAACAACCTCAGAAATACAAGGGCTTGCTTTGGATAGTAGGTACCAGTGGTGGTCACCAAAGATGTGTAACCCCTACCGTATATAGGGTTTAACTCCTGCCATGTATAACACAGTCCTGGGTGTTTGTGTCAGATGAGTTTGATGTGAGACAGCCCTTTAATTTTCTCCACATGCCCCAACGAA